GGATCCTTCTGTCTTGGCCTCCTAAAGTGCTAGGATTATAGATGTGAGTCACTGCACCCAGCTCCAGTTTTTTTTCTTTTTTTTCCTTAATGCAATGGGAAATGATGGAAGAGTTTTCAACAGGAGTAACATGTCATCATTTGTGCCTTACAACAGCATGGTGGCTCATGCCTGTAATCCTACTACTTTGGGAGGCTGAAGAAGGCTGATTGCTTGAGCCTAGGAGTTTGGGACTAGCCTGGGCTACATGGCAAAATCCTGTCTCTACAAAAAATACAGAAATTAGCTGGGCATGGTGGCATGCACCTATAGTCCCAGCTAGTTGGGAGGCTGAGGTGGGAGGATCACCTGAGCCTGGGGAGACTGACGCTGCAGTGAGCCATTATTGTACCACTGCACCCCAGCCTGGGTGACAGACTGTGTCTCAAAAAAAAAAAAAAAAAAAAAAACCAGAAAAAAATACAAAAAACACTCCAGTTCAGTAGAAACAATGGATTAGAGGAGTGGATCAAATGGATCAAAAGGAGGTGGAAGAAAGCATGAAAGCATGTTGGAAGTTAGTGTTTTTTTTTTTTTTTTTTTAAATGACAGAGCCAGTTGGGCATGGTGGCTCACGCTTGTAATCCCAGGACTTTGGGAGGCCGAGGCAAGAGGATCACGAGGCCAGGAGATCAAGACCATCCTGGCTAACACAGTGAAACCCTGTTTCTACTAAAAATAGAAAAAAATTAGCTGGGCGTGCTGGCGGGCGCCTGCAGTCCCAGCTACTCAAGAGGCTGAGACAGGAGGATCGCTTGAACCTGGGAGGTGGAGGTTGCAGTAAACCAAGATCGTGCCACTGCACTCCAGCCTGGCAACAGAGCAAGACTCCATCTCAAAGAAAAAAAAAAATTGCACTGTCACCCAGGCTGGAGTGCAGTGGCGTGATCTCTGCTCACTGCCACCTCCGCCTCCCAGGTTCATGTGATTCTCCTGCCTGAGCCTCCGGAATAGCTGGAATTACAGGCGCCCACGACCACGCGCAGCTAATTTTTTGTATATTTAGTAGAGATGGGGTTTCACTGTGTTGGCCAGGCTGGTCTTGAACTCCTGACCTCGTGATCCGCCCACCTCAGCCTCCCAAAGTGCTGGGATTATAGGCATGAGCTGCTGTACCCAGCCAGAAATTGTTATTATTTATTTATTAATTATTTATTTATTTATTTTTGAGACAGAGTCTGGCTCTGTCACCCAGGCTGGAGTGCAGTGGCGCGATCTCAGCTCACTGCAAGCTCTGCCTCCCAAGTTCACGCCATTCTCCTGCCTCAGCCTCCTGAGTAGCTAGGACTTCGAGTAACTGTGACTACAGGCGCCTGCCACCACGCCTGGCTAATTTTTTGTATTTTTAGTAGAGACAGGGTTTCACCATGTTAGCCAGGATGGTCTGGATCTCCTGTCCTCGTGATCCGCCTGCCTGGGCCTCCAAAAGTGTTGGGATTACAGGCGTGAGCCACTGCACCCGGTTTATTATTATTATTATTATTATTTTTATTTTTATTTTTTTTGAGACGGAGTCTCGCTCTGTAGCCCAGGCTGGAGTACAGTGGTGCAATCTTGGTTCACTGCAAGCTCCGCCTCCCAGGTTCACACCACTCTCCTGCCTCAGCCTCCTGAATAGCTGGGACTACAGGCGCCCGCCACCACGCCCGGCTAATTTTTTGTATTTTTGTAATAGAGACGGGGTTTCTACTGTGTTAGCCAGGATGGTCTCGATCTCCTGACCTCGTGATCTGCCCGCCTCGGCCTCCCAGAGTGCTGGGATTACAGGCATAAGCCATGGCGCCCGGCCTATTATTATTATTTTCTGAGATGGATTCTTGCTCTGTCACCCAGGCTGGAATGCGGTGGCGCAATCTTGGCTCATTGTAACCTCCGCCTCCCCGGTTCAAGTGATTCTCCTGCCTCAGCCTCCCGAGTAGCTGTGAAAACAGGCGCCTGCCACCAAACCTGGCTAATTTTTGTATTTTTAGAAGAGAATGGTTTTCGCCATGTTGACCAGGCTGGTCTTGAACTCCTGAGCTGAAGGAGCTCTCCTGCCTCAGCCTCTCGCAGTGCTGGGATTACAGGCATGAGCCACCACACCCCGTCTCATGCAATGCATAATAACACATCAGAGTAAATGGGGTATCCATCCCCTCAAGTATTTACCCTTTGTGTTACAATCTAATTATACCCTTAGTTATTTTAAAATGTACAATGAAATTATAATTGATTATAGTCACCTTGTTGTGCTATCAAATACTAGGGCTTATTCATTCTAACTATTTTTTGTAACCATTAACCATCCACACCTCCCACAGCCCCCAACTACCTTTCCCAGCCTTTGATAACCATCCTTCTACCCTCTATCTCCATGAATTCATTTAAAAAAAATTTTTCAGATCCCACAAATAAGTGAGAACATGTGATGTTTGTATTTCTGTGCCTTGCGTATTTCACTTAGCATAATGACCTCCAGTTTCATCCATATTGTTGCAAACAACAGGATTCATTCGTTTTTATGGCTCCTTCGTGTATACGTACCACATTTTCTGTATCCTTCATCTGTTAAAGGACACTTAGGTTGCTTCCAAATCTTCCCCTTAGGCTCAAGCAATCCTCCCACCTCAGCCTTCTGAGTAGCTGGGACCACAGGTATGCGCCATCTCATGTGGATAATTTTTTTTTTTTTTTTAATTTTTGTAGAGATGAGGTCTCCTTATGTTGCCCAGGCTGTTTTTTGTTTGTTTGTTTGTTTGTTTTGTGATGGAGTCTCGCTCTGTCACCCAGGCTGGAGTGCAGTGGCGCCATCTCAGCTCATTGCAACCTCCACCTCCCAGGTTCAAGCGATTCTCCTGCCTCAGTCTCCCGAGTAGCTGGGATTACAAGTGCCCGCCAAGACACCTGGCTCATTTTTTGTATTTTTGGTAGGGATTGGGTTTCCCCATGTTGACCAGGTGGGTCTTGAACTCTTGACCTCCAGTGATCTGCCCGCCTTGGCCTGCCAAAGTGCTGGGATTACAGGCGTGAGTCATTGCACCTGGCCCTCCCAAACTGGTTTTGAACTCCTAGGTTCAAGACTCCTAGGTTCTTGGCCTGCCAAAGTGTTGGGATTACAGGTGTGAGCCGCTGCACCCAGCTGCTTCCAAATCTTTGTGAACAATGCTGCAACAAACACAGAAGTGCAGATCTCTCTGATACACTGATTTCCCTTCTTTTGGGTATATACTCAGCAATGAGATTGCTGGATCATATCGTAGCTCTATTTTTAGTTTTTTAAGAAACCTCTAAAACGTTCTCCGTAGTGGTTGCACTAATTTACATTCCCACCAACAGTGTTTGAGGGTTCCCTTTTCTCCACATCCTCACCAGCATTTGTTATTGCCAATCTTTTGGCTATAAGCCATTTTAACTGGGGTGAGATGATATCTCATTGTAGCTTTGATTTGCATTTCTCTGATGATCCGTGATGTTGAGCACCTTTTCATATGCCTGTTTTCCATTTGTATGTCTTCTTTTGAGAAATGTCTATTCAAATATTTTGCCTGTTTTCACTGGATTATATTTTTTCCCATAGAGTTGTTTGACCTCCTTATATATTCTGGCTATTAATCCCTTGTAAGAGAGGTAGTTTGCAAATTTTTTTTTCCCATTCTGTGGATTATCTCTTCACTTCCTATGCTGTACAGAGGCTTTTTAACTAGATGTGATCCCATTTGTCCATTTTTACTTTGGTTGCCTGTGCTTGTGGGGTATTACTCAAGAAATTTTACCCAGATCAATGTCCTGGAGAGTTTCTCCGGTGTTTTCTTGTAGTCGTTTCATATCTCAAGGTCTTAGATTTAAGTCTTTAATTCATTTTGATTTAATTTTGTATATGGTGAGAGATAGGGGTCTAGTTTTGTTCTTCTGCATATGGATATCCTGTTTTCCCAGCACCATTTATTGAAGAAACTGTCTTTTCCCCAGTATGTGTTCTTGGCACCTTTGTTGACAGTGAGTTCACTGTAGGTGTTTGGATTTGTTTCTGAGTCCTCTATTCTGTTCCATTGGTCTATATGTCTGTTTTTATGCCAGTACCATGCTGTTTTGGTTACTATAGCTCTGTAACAAAATTTGAAGTAAGATAATGTGATTCCTTCAGTTTTGTTCTTTTTGCTTAGTATAGCTTTGGCTATTCTGGGTCTTTTGTGGTTCCATATAAATTTTATGATTTTTTTTCCATTTCTGTAAAGAATGTTACTGATATTTTGATAGTGATTACATTGAATCTATAGATTGCTTTCAGTACTATGGACATTTTAACAATATTGATTCTTCCAATTCATGAACATGGAGTATCTTTCCATTTTTTTGTGTCCTCTTCAATTTATTTTGTGTTTTATGGTTTTCAATATAGATTTTTTTTCTTTGGTTAAGCTAATTCCTAGGTATTTGATTTTATTTGTAGCTGTTGTAAATGGGATTACTTTATTTCTTTTCCAGACTGTTCAGAAATTAGTCTTTTTTTTTTTTTTTTTTTTGAGACGGAGTCTCACTCTGTCGCCCAGGCTGGAGTGCAGTGGCACAATCTCGGCTCACTGCAAGCTCCGCCTCCCAGGTTCACGCCATTCTCCTGCCTCAGCCTCCCGAGTAGCTGGGACTACAGGCGCCCGCCACTGTGCCCGGCTAATTTTTTTCTATTTTTTAGTAAAGACGGGGTTTCACCATGGTCTCGATCTCCTGACCTTGTGATCCGCCCGCCTCGGCCTCCCAAAGTGCTGGGATTACAGGCGTGAGCCACCGCGCCCGGCCCAGAAATTAGTCTTGACTCAAACATCTCACCCTGCCTAACATTAACATTCTCTATAGCAAATGTCTATTTTGTTGTTGTTAACAACTTACCTGAAAAATTAGCAACAGACATCTTTGTCTAATCACTGTGGTTGCAGGAAAATCCAGGTTCTTTTCACATGAACAGGAAAGATTAGGCTCGCAGAAACTTTGAGGGGCAAGGAGGATGGAATTTATTGGGGAAAAAGGAAAAACAACACAGCAAAGCAAGAGAGGGATTCCTGTTAACAGGCCCTCATCTCACAGATTGAATCCCAGGTTCCTCACAGGAACAGGAGAGGCCAGGCTCCTCCCCACTGCAAACAGCGTGAACTTCCATGGCTCTACCCCATTCTCCCAGTGCACAGGCCAGTTAGAGGTTCTCTGGGAATTCCTTTATACTTGGCTGTCTCATTTCCCCATCTAAAGAAGTACATCTAACTGCCCTTAGAGTGAGGCTAAGGACAAAGACCGATCTTAACTGCTTCCTGCTGGCAGGGGGTGCTGTTTTGGGAAGATGGCAGTCAGATCTCCCTCAGAGGCCTATCTTAGGGTCCCCTGCAGAAGGGGCCATCATCCAAGGCTCTGGTTGCATGTCTGTTTGGAGTTTGATGACCTGAAGCTGAGAAGAGACAAACTGGGTTATTAGAAAACATGTGTCAAAACTAAAACAAGGGTAAGGACAGGTGAAAAATCCTGAGACCCTTTACCAGTTTGCATGGGGGAGGGAGGCCAAAAGCCCAGCTGGTAAAAACACTTTTACCCTTTTGCTGGCATGTCAGGCTTCTGGGTTCCCTTCCCCTGGGCCCAATCCTAAGTCAGCCACTTTAAAGTTCGGGAAATTAACTACTTCTCAGTTTGGAGGATGTATCTGAGGGGAGTATCCCGTCGTGTGGAGACACAATTACCTATTTGTAAAGAGAGAACGGGGAGGAAAAAGAAAAAAAAGTGTTTTTTCAAAGGAGTCCCAGGAGTTCAAGATGCACTCAAAAGAAGTACAAACTAAAGGTGAATGGCTACTCATCCAGAAAGAGGGAAGCAGGCACCCCTGGTTCCTTTCTCTTCCTAGCAAATACCTGGGGTATGTGAGGGAGGGAAAGTGAGGCATTCCTTTTTCTTTCCACCATCCTTGTGTCCCTGAGTTCTGGTGACTGCAACAGCATGCCACCCATGGGTGTTAAAGAGGCTTTTGCCCATGTTAACTAGGGGGGCTGGGGGTGGGAATTATTCACTCTATGCACATATGCCTTATCTCCCCTGCTGTCAGTAGCCTTGAATTCCCTAGACTTCCTTTATGCCATGGATACTAGCATGACTTTTATTCATGAAACAGGAAGCTTGGCTTAACCGCCAGGAGTCAGCCACACTCACCTGTGCCATGCCTTTTAACTTCCATTGTCATCTTCCTCTGGATCCCTCAGATCCAGTCTTCTTTCCTAGGGCTTTGACCCGAAGCTTGGAATTGAGTTTGAGACAAAAATGTGTCTTGGAGGGAGTTGCACGGACTCTTTATCGTGAGCCAAATGCTAAAGTGAAGCTGTGGAATTGAGTCCTCCTGTAACAAGGGAGAGAAAAGGATGTCTTGTGACACACCCAGATAACTGTTGGCTATAGTTATGCCTGCTAGGATTTGGGTGCATGGTGCTTGTCTTTGGTTAGCTCCCTTGGTCTTGCTTTCCAAAAAGGAAACCTCCGGGTGATGGGCGCCCTATTTATTCTCATTGCCGGGCGGGATTTGATGTATAATTGCTCAGAACTAGAATATTGATCCAGATTTCTACATTACTCATCCCTTTTGTTCTTTCTGAGTTGTAGCTGGAGATTGCTGGTTGGTTCACAGGAACAAGCAGGGTTAGTCTAAAATGTAGGCAAAGACTTAAAAACAACTAATGAGTTTAGAATTTAATGACAAATGAAGCTGGGCGCAGTGGCTCACGCCTGTAATCCCAGCACTTTGGGAGGCCAAGGTAGGTGGATCATGAGGTCAAGTTATCCAGACCATCCTGGCCAACATGGTGAAAACCCGTCTCTACTAAAAATACAAAAATTAGCTGTGGTGGTGCGCACCTGTAGTCCCAGCTACTCAGGAGGCTGAGGCAGGAGGATTGCTTGAAACCTGGAGGCAGAGGTTACAGTGAGCCGAGATCATGCCAATAATTTAATGACACATGTATACGTTTTGAAACATAATTTCTTTCTTAGCAGTCCTCATTTTTTTTTTTTCAAATTTTCTTTTGTTACCAGTTCTCATTTTTGTTGAAAAATCATGATAGGACTGAGTTGTTTGCAAAATAGACTTTAGTTTTATACTTGGCCTAATTAGTTGCATACAGTGCAGCAAGAATAACTATTTCTACATAGGCCTTTTACATTGGCTTTGATGCAACTCTGTTTCACAAGGACTCTTAGAGAAGACCTTTTTAAGCCCAGCCCAGCCAAGGGTTTTTATCCTCAAATACCTGTGCGTTGGGTGATCCTCTTCTCTTAAGGTCCCAAGATAAACTTGGAACTCCTGGGCCAGTTAGAAAGTGACATTCTTGGCCTGGTGCGGTGGCTCACGCCTGTAATCCCAGCACTTTGGGAGGCCGAGGCGGGCGGATCACAAGGTCAGGAGATTGAGACCATCCCTGGCTGACATGGTGAAACCCTGTCTCTACCAAAAATACAAAAAAAAATTAGCCGGGTGTGGTGCCACATGCCTGTAGTCCCAGCTACTCAGGAGGCTGAGGCAGGAGAATAGCTTGAACCTGGGAGATGGAGGTTGCAGTGAGCCAAGATCATGTCACTGCACTCCAGTCTGGGCAACAGAGCAAGACTTCCGTCCACAAAAAAAAAAAAAAAAAAAAGGTGGCATTTTTTATTGACCACAGGTCAGGAATCCTGTACAGGGACTGTGTAGGCAAGGGTATGAAGCCAGTTTTTTCCCCAGGGGGATTTTTTTGCTCTGCAACTCGAGCTTGACTGCTTAAAGGGAAGCATACCCTTGCAGTCAAAGCCTTGGTAAAACAACCAGTTTCTCCAATTGCATCCTGTTGCAAAAGAAAATGGATTCTTACTGCACTGATGCAAACAACTATATTACCACAAGTTAAAAATACTCACAGAGGCCTGGTGCGGTGGCTCATGCCTGTAATTCCAGCACTTTGGGAGGCCGAGGTGGGTGGATCACCTGAGGTCAAGAGTTCGAGACCAGCCTGGCCAACATGGTGAAACCCTGTCTCTACTAAAAACATAAAAATTAGCCAGGCGTGGTGGCAGGCGCCTGTAATCCCAGCTACTTGGGAGGCTGAGGCAGGAGAATCGCTTGAACCTGGGAGGCAGAGGTTACAGTGAGCCGAGATTGTGACATTGCACTTGTGCCTGGGGGACAAGAATGAGACTTCATCTCAAAAAACAAAAAAGAATACTCACAGATAGTTTCCAAATTCCAGAGGAACAAGGCAGAGAGAAACAAAAACATGCTCTAGATTTTGGTCACAAGAGTATACCTTATTCAATTTATGAAAGGTCATAAATAGTTCAAAATAAGTTTCCTTGACTCCGAAAAACAAAACAAGGATCAGCAATATTCCAAGCAAAAGTTAAGAAGTTTGCTTCAGTTTCTTGAGTACATTCATTGAACTCTTGTTTTACTTGATATTTATGAACATTTTAGCTCTTCATGAATCTTGTATGTTTTTCCTTTATTCCAACGTCACAATCTCCAAAGTTATCAGAAACCTGTATTTGAGAGTACCTGTCAAAGTTCTATAGCTTATTATAAACCATGTTTTGAAAAGGATTAAAACAAAACAACAATTGTCTGTGAATAACAAAATGTTCAGGGTAGTTACACTTAGAAGCACAATTGACAAAGAAGTTTGATTATCTCTATGGTTTACAAAACTTAATTATCATTGAGAGCATATACTCAGACATTAGAATTTTAGAAATTCCCTACAATTTCAGAATATGTATTATTCACCAAAATATAACCTAAAGAAGATTGAACATAGTCCCATGTACCTAAATGTTTCAAATAATCCTGTTTACCTCTCTTTTCTGGACACTGCAGGGGCCCTTCTGAAGTATTTGAAAAGCCAGGTGTCAGGAAAGACAATTGTGAAACTGAAGTTTGATTTTGGTCTCGAAATCCTGACCTCAGGTGATTCACACCTGCCTCAGCCTCCCAAACTGCTGGGATTACAGGCGTGAGCCACTGGGCCTGGCCTTATATTTATTTATTTATTATTTATTTTTGAGACAGAGTCTCACTCTGTCACCCAGGTGCAATCTCAGCTCACTGCAACCTCCACCTCCTGGGTTCAAGTGATTCTCCTGCCGCAGCCTCCTGAGTAGCTGGGACTACAGGCCCCTGCCACCACATCCAGCTAATTTTTGAATTTTTAGTACAGATGGGTTTTTACCATGTTGGCTTGGATGGTCTCATCTCCTGACCTTGTGATCCACCCGCCTTGGCCTCCCAAAGTGTTGGGATTACAGGTGTGAGCCATTGTACCCAGCTATTTATTTTTTTTGAGATGGAGTCTCACTGTCACCCAGGCTGGAGTGTAGTAGTACAATCTCAGCTCACTGCAGCCTCCAACTCCTGGGGTCAAGGGGTTCTCTTGCCTCAGCCTCCCCAGTAGCTGGGATTACAGGCAGCTGCCACCACTCCCAGCTAATTTTTGTATTTTTAGTACAGATGGGGTTTCACTGTGTTGGCTAATCTGGTCTTGAACTCCTGACCTTAAGTGATCCACCTGCCTCAGCCTTCCAAAGTGCTGGGATTACAGGCGACTGCCACCACGCCCAGCCTAAAATATATTTCAAAATATATTTATCTGAGTTCCTCAAAGGTAGAGTCCATGTCTTTTGTCCCCAGAACCTAGTACAAAGTCTTGTATCTCATAGTTACTCAGTGAATGTTAATTTAATGGATGAATCGGTCACACTAGCAATTGCAAAGTTTTTCTCAGGCCCTAACCTTGGCTGCAAGGAGTTTGTAGAGATCTCCCCTCCCCACACCCTCCATTTACGATGTCATCAGACTGTGGTAAGCCATTCAATGAGTGCTTAGCATGAATCCGACACAGTGCTAATTACCTGTAATTCTCAAAATGTCCTTAAGAGGTGGCTAATAATATGTCCTCATTTCACACTTAACCTTAATCCCAGCTATTCGATTACAATCCTGGTTACCAGACCTGGCTCACGTCACCTAGCTAATAATGGAAGAGCCCACATGTGTTTGCCATAGGAATTGGCATTTTCATGTCCAGCTCTCTAGCCCCAAAGATTTCAACCTTTTAGAGCCGTAACAGATTGGAATAAGAATCCTCTCCAGGAATCTTTCCCAATATGCTGGAACCTAAAAGGAAATAAAAACCCCTACTTTGATCAGCGTAGACTAGGCCATGGTGAAAAGGAATGGATGATGTTCCAGGTGTGAGGAAGTGCAGCTTTTTAGCCTGCCAGTTATTTTTCAGTCAGCCAGTTGCAGGAAATGAGGCACACTGCTTTCCATAAATGACTTGTCTTGCAACTTTCTGAACAAGTCACACCTCCGTGACCTGTTTTTTTTATTTTTTTGAGATGGAGTCTCGCTCTGTTGCCCAGGCTGGAGTGCAGTGGCGAGATCTTGGCTCCCTGCAACATCTGCCTCCCGGGTTCAAGTGATTCTCCTGCCTTAGCCTCCTGAGTAGCTAGGATTACAGGCGCCTGCCACCACGCCTGGCTAATTTTCGTATTTTTAGTAGAGACTTTTCGATTTTTAGTAGAGACAGGGTTTCACCATGTTGGCCAGGCTGGAACTTTGCCTATTTATTTTGAGACAGAGTCTCGCCTGTTGCCCAGGCTGGAGTGCAGTGGTGAGATCTCAGCTCCCTGCAACCTCTGCCTTCCAGGTTCAAGTGATTCTCCTGCCTTAGCCTCCTGAGTAGCTGGGATTACAGGCGCCTGCCACCACGCCTGGCTAATTTTCGTATTTTTAGTAGAGACGGGGTTTCACCATGTTGGCCAGGCTGGGAATCCTCTGGCCTATTTATTTTGAGACAGAGTCTCGCTCTGTTGCCCAGGCTGGAGTGCAGTGGTGAGGATCTCGCTCCTGCAACCTCTGCCTCCCAGGTTCAAGTGATTCTCCTGTCTTAGCCTCCTGAGTAGCTGGGATTACAGGCGCCTGCCACCACGCCTGGCTAATTTTCGTATTTTTAGTAGAGACGGGGTTTCACCATGTTGGCCAGGCTGAACTTCGGCCTATTTATTTGAGACAGAGTTCCGCTCTGTTGCCCAGGCTGGAGTGCAGTGGTGAGATCTCGGCTCCCTGCAACCTCTGCCTCCCAGGTTCAAGTGATTCTCCTGCCTTAGCCTCCTGAGTAGCTGGGATTACAGGCGCCTGCCACCACGCCTGGCTAATTTTCGTATTTTTAGTAGAGACGGGGTTTCACCATGTTGGCCAGGCTGGAACTTTGGCCTATTTATTTAATTTATTTATTATTTATTTATTTATTTATTTATTTTTTAATTTTTTTTTTATTTTTTATTTTTTTGAGACGGAGTCTCGCTCTGTCGCCCAGGCTGGAGTGCAGTGGCGCAATCTCGGCTCACTGCAAGCTCCGCCTCCCGGGTTCACGCCATTCTCCTACCTCAGCCTCCCCAGTAGCTGGGACTACAGGCGCCCGCCACTGCGCCCGGCTAATTTTTTTCTATTTTTTAGTAGAGACGGGGTTTCACCATGGTCTCGATCTCCTGACCTTGTGATCCACCCGCCTCGGCCTCCCAAAGTGTTGGGATTACAGGCGTGAGCCACCGCGCCCGGCCATTTATTTATTTTTGAGACAGAGTCTTGCTCTGTTGCCCAGGTTGGAGTGCAGTGGCCAGCTCTCGGCTCACTGCAACTTCTGCCTCCCAGGTTCAAATATTCTCTTGCCTCACTGAGTAGCTGGGATTATAGGCGCCCGCCACCACGCCCGGCTACTTTTTGCATTGTTTTTTTTTTTTTTGAGACGGAGTCTTGCTCTGTCGCCCAGGCTGGAGTGCAGTGGCCGGATCTCAGATTACTGCAAGCTCCGCCTCCCGGGTTCACACCATTCTCCTGCCTCAGCCTCCGGAGTAGCTGGGACTACAGGCGCCCGCCACCTCGCCCGGCTAGTTTTTTGTATTTTTTTAGTAGAGACGGGGTTTCACCGTGTTAGCCAGGATGGTCTCGATCTTCTGACCTCGTGATCCGCCCGTCTCGGCCTCCCAAAGTGCTGGGATTACAGGCTTGAGCCACCGCGCCCGGCCTACTTTTTGTATTTTTTAGTAGAGACGGGGTTTCACCATCTTGGCCAGGCTGGTCTTGAACTCTTGACCTCGTGATCCACCAGCCTAGGCCTCCCAAAGTGCTGGGATTACAGGCGTGAGCCACCGCGCCTGGCCCCTTTGCTTATTTTTCTAAGAAACAGACTAACACCGATCTCACTAGTAGCATTGTTAAGATTAAACAAGATAGCTAATAGCTTTAAAGGGTCTAATCACAGTACCCCTACATGTAGTAGTCACTCAGCAAATCATAGCCAGGAGTGGACGAAAAGCGCTGGGAGCATTAAACCAGCCAGATTTGGAGTCTGGGCAGGGCCTAAGACGATGGCATCAGCGGATTGGGCCAGCCAAAGGGGGCGGGTTCAGAGGGAGGAGCCAGCCGCCTTCCGCTGCAGCCCCGAGCTTTGAATCAAGCGCGGTAGTTTCAGCTGTAGCCAATCCTAGAACAAAATCTTCTTGCGTCAGTTGTTGCTGAAGCCCAGATCTCACCCAGATCAGTTCTAGTCGCTGCTGCTAGTACGCGTCCTCGGCTCTTGCGTGTCCGTCCGTTACGAGTCAGAGGACAGAGAGAAAGTCTAAGTCACCTTCCTCAGTATCCAGGCCGGAAAGAGACTCTCGGCTACTCGCCTTAAACATGGAGAGCAGCACTGGCTTCCCTGTCTCTGGATGCCGCAGGGGCGTCCTGTCAGGAGTTGTAGTGGCAAGATTCCAGTTCTTATGCGACTTGGTGGAGAAGCAGGAAGTTGCTGTTTATCGGACAAGGCGGGCTAGGGAGGGAAACAACCCCGCGGAGCCATATGGAGAGAGTAGGAGGTGTCCTTAGATAATGGTAGGCCTGCGGCGGACGGTGGGGCGGTGTTGAGTCCTGGCCCTTTAAACCCGAGGGGGAGGACCCGGAAGTGGATGGGCGGGGCGAAGGGCCCTCGTATATAAGAGGGCCCCAGCCGCGCGGGGTCTCTAATCTGCCATTTTCTGTCCCTGAGTGAGTCTCTGGCGTCCCAAATTGCCTGTTTTTCTCGCAGGCTCTATTCCGTTCGCTGGTTCGCCACCTCAGGGGAACGATGGCCACTGAGTCCACAGCTACTGCCGCCGTCGCCGCGGAGCTGGTTTCTGCCAACAAGTAAGCGGGACTGGAAAGCTTGAGGCACTGGCCAGTCCGCGGGGAGGGCAAATGGACGGGGGCTCCGGAGAAGGGACAGACCGGTGGGCGGGCGTACTTGCCTTTCCGGGAGCAGCTGTCGCTGTTCGGGAAGGCCCGGTCACTGGAGCAGTCCTCCTCTGGCTTGACTCGCGCACCAGCGGTAACGGCGGTCGGCTGGCGCCCCCTGCCCCGCTTTTTGCGGCCGCCATCTTGCCGGGGGCAGCGGCGGCTGTATCCATCGCCTGCCCCTCTCTTTCCTCCCCCGGCCCGGGGCGGTTGGCCGGGAGGCGGGGCCCTGGCGCACGAGTTGGCTTTCACTCCCCTTCTGTCTCCAGCGTGTGCCTCGGGTAGAGTCCCTGGATAACCCGGGAATATAACCAACGGAGATTTGGCGCCAAAAGAAAAAAAAAAAAAATCCTGCACGAGGAAGGAGGCTGGCCCTGAGGGGTCGGGGTGGGCGGGGCCTTGCTGAGGGCGGGGTTTTGCGCGCGTGCGTTCGCTTCCCTTGCCGGCTCTGGAGCAGGGGGCGGGGCCTTGAGGAGGCGGGAAAACTCTATTGTTCGCGGCCGCTGCGGCTCCAGCGGGAGTCTTTGGACTATTCTGTGGGACCGGTGAGACTAGTTCCGCCCCTCACGCCTCGCGCACGTCTTGTGCTGGGAGATAGTTATCGCTCCCCTCGATTCCGTGAGCCCCTGCCTGTGGTGGGGAGGATTGTAGTTCTTTAGACTTCGGAGGTGTTGCCTTGTTCAGGGGAACATTATCCGGACGCAAAGCGTCTTCAGGAAGCGCCGACTGGAGCTCTCACCAGCACTGTTTGGTTGCTAGGTGAATCGGCATTAGTGTGCACGAAGTGGAGAAGGGCTGGAGGGAAACAAGATAGGATTGCTTTGAAAGCAGCACAGTGCCACTCAGGCGTAATCTATTTTTTGAACAGTGGAGGGAAACACTACATGAGTTCAAGGAAACAAGTGCTGTTTCCCATACAGTAGATCTGATTTCCCAATCTTGCCTAATTTTTTTAGTGATCTGGTTCTGTTTTTTTTCTTTTTCTAATCTTGTGCGCTTTAGAGGTTAGCTGCCTTCCCTGTGAAAGGAATGGTTGCTGTGAAGTTTTTTAAATTGATATTCTATAGGCTTACACTCTGTCATGATTATGTCTTAGGTTGCTTATAGAGATTTACTTACATCTTTGCTTACCACCTTTGTTTTCTCTGCATTGTTGTAGAGCAGTGGTTCTCAAGTCACCCTGACAATCATCTGGGAACTCATGGGAAATATAATTTTAATTTCAAACTCCCATTACCTGCCTCTTTCCCCATTGATTCGATATGAGCAGTATAGATTGGGCTTGAGAGTCGTGCTATAGCTGTTATAAAACGAGCTCCTTTTTATAATGTTTCCTGGATAGCTCTGGCAGTCAGTATTTCACTGACAGGTGTGTGTTTCTGTTTTGTTTTTGCAGACAGGATCTGGCTCTCACATCCAGGCTAGAGTGCAGTGTTGTGGTCATAGCTCACTGCAACCTCGAACTCCTGGGCTCAAGTGATCCTCCCTAGTAGCTTGGGACTACAGTCGCCACGCCTGGCTAAGTTTTTGTAAATACAGGGTCTTGATGTTGCCCAGGCTGGTCTCAGACTCTTGGGCTCAAGCAATCCTCCCGCCTTGGTCTCCCAAGGTGTTGGGGTTACAGGTGTGAGCCACTGCGCAGGACCAGGTGTGTGTATGTGTTTTTTTATTTTTATTTTTATTTTTTTGAGATAAAAGTATGCAACAGATATCTCTTGCAGGTCCCCTGTGTCTTGCCAGAGTTAGGTCATTAGTGAACTTAGTCACAGCTTCCTGGCAGGTTTTACATACAGAAAGTTTATATGTGGCTACAAGAAAGCAAACCATTTAAGTAGTTCCTCACACCATAAATTGAAAGCTAAAACTGAGCAATTATGTGTGCTGGGTGGGTGGGTGTGGGGGTGTGTGTGTGTGTGTGTGTTAGGAGGCAGGGTCTCAGGCTGGAGTGCAGTGATGCCATCATCACCCACTGCACCCTCTACCTCCTGGGCTCAAGTGATTCTCCCGCCTCAGCCTCCTGAGTAGCTGGGATTACAGGCGCACACCACAAGACCCAGCTGATTCTAGTATTTATTTTATAGAGACGGGTTTCACCATGTTGCCCAAGCTGGTCTCCCAACTCCTAGGCTCAAGGGATCCACCCACCT